GCATAATTCCGGCGATCGGAGAAACATTGACAATAATCTTGTGTAAAATATACTAAATGACATAGGTAAAATGCAACACCGACTAGGAGTGCTGTAATTTTATTTTTACGTACTTTTACAAGTTTTAGGCATACTGATAAATACAAAGTGATTAAAATTTTCACTCGAAATTTCGCAAAATATACTGTGACATATAAATCCGAACACCCAGTTTAAATGGTTTTATTTTAATAAAATTTTGTATAAGTACTTAATGAAGCATAATAAGTAAATGATAAAAATTTCAATATGATTGCACTGCTTTAAAAAGCCCTTTGACCTTTAATAATGTGTGGATGCACCCTGATGTGCTACGCATTCTCCAACGCGCCTAGGCATGCTTCTGATCAGGTGGTCAATGTCCTCCTGTGGTATCTCATTCCAGGCAACCACCAACTCCTCTCGAAGTGCTTCTAGAGTCTGAGGAGGACGTTGCAAATTGAGCAATGTCCTACCCATCATATCCCACACGTGCTCAATTGGGGATAATTCGGGAGATCTTGGTGGAAATGGTAACAATGTGACATCATTATGTTGAAATAAGTCTATTGTGACTCTTGCAACATGTGGTCGGGCATTATCTTGTTGGAAAGTTGGATCTGCCAGGGTGTCAAGATAGGGTAAAAGATGGCGTTCTAAAACTTTGTGGATATAACGCTGCGCGTTCATGTTACCTCTGATGAAGATTAAAGGTGACCTGGAACCATAAGCTATAGCACCGCAAACCATAACTCCAACAGTGTGATGAACATGTCTTTCAACAAAAAACTGTGGATTCCTCCTTTCACCATGTCGCTTTCTAACCCTGACACGACCATCGTGCATGCCTAAACAAAATCGAGACTCGTCACCATTCCTGATCCCAGAGTGACCGTTGTCTGCACCACTCAAGGCGATTACGTCGGTGTTCTCGAGTTAAAGGGAGGACCCAGTGTGGCCGGTATGAAATCAAGCCAAAACTTCTCATTCGTCGGTAAACACTTCGCATGCCAATAGCTCTTCCGTGTTCTGCAAACTATTCATTTGCAATGGACCTGGTAGTGGAGAAACGGTCCCTTAAGGCCAATAATCTTAGGCGGCGATCTTCACGGTATGTTGTTCTACGGCGGCGTCCAGTGCCCCTTGCTCTTTGCGTACGGCCTTCTCGAAGCCATGCCTGACAACACCTAACCACAGTGTCTTCTTAGCACTCTAACTGCAATTGCCCGAAAAGAAAGTCCAGCTTCCCGAAGTCCCACTATACGGCCCCTATCAAACTCACTAAGTTGACGAAATCGTACAGGTCTCCGTACTCTAGGCATCGTAACCGATCGTAAAGGATGTCAAGAACCAAAATCCGCCAACGTTGATTCTTTACTGCGGCTGAAATATTAATGTTTACAGCGTTAGTGAATGAAAAAAAAAGCAGTATAAAAACCGGAATGTCCAACTGATAAGCATGAAAATTTTTTCGCTTGTTATTTACAGTAAGATACTATAAATACATTCACCAACTTTTATTAAAATAAAACCATTTAAACTGGGTGTTCGGATTTATATGTCAGTATAGTTTACATCCTTCTTCTTGAACACTACCAACCTGAATGGCACCTCTATTTTTCCCAATTGTAGGATTGCATTCACCTTCCATAGGTTTCAGCAACTTTCTTTCCCAAACTTACAATTTAATTTAAAAAAAATTAAATCTTAATTTCATGTAATGGTTTACCGAATGTTGATTCGTATTTTTTTAACATCTTCTTCAAGGCGTCGTAATCTCTCATTTTTATTTTTGGAACTTGTCACTTGTCACAAATAATGGGACCAATGACAATTTCATCTACGGTGAATTGCAGGTCGTTGCCATTATTTTCTATAGTTTCCTCATCCCTTGAGGACGACATGCTTATTAATTTGATGAAAAACTGTATCCAATACAAATACGGAACGGTCTGTGTAAGGTCTGGAGTACAATTGTCAGTGATGCCGGAGATATACTTATACCTCTACTTTTTTCTTTGAAGACCTTATACTTTTATCTTATGCTTCCGACGATATGCTTCTCCTTTATGAATACGGCTCATTGAAGTAGTTCACCGAAACGAGCTAGAAAGTACATTACCAGATGTACCAGACACGTCAACCTCGTCGGACTTCGTGATGTCTTTATAGCGGTTGAATATAAAAAAATCATCTACTTCTGCGATAATAATCTCGCGAGCCGCTTTGTCAGGATAGTCAGTGAAATAAAAAATGCGTCGAATAATCTCTACAGCGCATTGCGAGCAACATCTTATAACGGCTTACGGCCGTAGTAAACATAAGTTTGCGGGCAAAGATACAACACTCGAATACCTTAGAATTTACGTTCTCTTACACCGAGAAATATATTGTTGCGCGAAGGATATAAAGTTGCAATTTATGATAATGGACATTCATTATTTAGATGCTGAAACATGCGCGGCTTTATGAAAAAAAACTGGAACGGAAAGAGGACGTAAAGTGCGGAGCATTGGCTTGTTGTTGCAATCATATGCGACTTTTTTTTAAGTGAGAACGTATCAGGTACAGCAAATGTCTATTTTTTATCGTAACAGAACTCCAGGGCGTGAATACTGAGGCCACTATAAAAGAGAAAACGTATTCCCAACGATACCCAATCATATCAAGGGCTGCGAATAAGAAACCGTAATTCCATCTTAAATCACACGTGGCGTCCGAAGGTGATTTTTTTGACAATTCGCTGATAGACATCCCACAAATTTTTACGTCAAGAAGCCACTTAAATTCCAAGATGGAATGCCAAATGAAAATTGGTCGATGGTGAAAACAATGAATATTTCATAGATCATTTTGATCTGAAAGGAAGGCACTATCCTTTGACTGATAGCAGTTCTGCTCACTCAGATGAATAAATTAATAACTTTGTAATTTCTCAAACACATTTTTGCATGCGAGTCCAACCCTGTAGCACACAAAACCTTTCCAATAGGTTCACAAGGCTGCTTAGTGTCACTCAGCGCTACGGCCCTTACGCCTGTTTACATTATACATTCCACTCCTTCTCTGGGTACTTGTTCCCAGGATAAACTTTGTTAAAGGTACGGGCGTGGACGGCGATGCAGTTCGATTATTGCGTGGAGGAGATCGCTTCTCGGACCAAGTGTAGTGCGCTTTGTGAACTTGATTACAGTGTTGATGTGCTATTGTTTGTTTTGGTTACCTAAAAGGTGAGCAATCACTGAGTGTTTCCTTTATTCGACTGTACTGCAGGGATTGATAACCATAATACATGATTATGAATGTCTTAAGCCATGTTTATAAAGATGCTATACTTTTTTACCTTCATAATTTAACAGCTTACGACTTGTTATTGAATATCCGCAGGTGGGACGCCTCCAGGTTTTGGGGGTTGTTATGGGACTTTCGGAAGCCGCTTGCTGGGTTACTTACTGCTCGGTTTCCTCTACCAGGGGAGCGCTTTGAATGTTGACACGGTGGCCTTTGGCCGAAGTGGCGTCCTAGGTCTAAATGACCGCTTAACTATCTTCTCTTGGCAATCGCTGAATGTATCTCATGGCAGGATGTGCGAAGAGATTGTTACTTTAATGATAGTCATATTGCTCGGTTACCTCTGATTCAGGGGTAAGGTTGGAGCTTTGGGGTATTGACACAACGGCCCTTGGCCAGCGTGATAACCCGGTTCCTGGACTGTCTTTTTGTAACAATCGTTAAACTCGGCACGTCTGACCGTACACCTAGCGACCGAAGAGTTAGAGTTAGTCTGTGTGACAACTCCGAGTTAATCTGTGTGACGACTTAATGATCAGTCAGGTTTAGTCTGTGTGACGATCCCGTGATTCAGTCGATGACGAATCCGTAGTAGTAGTTGGGGTACATTAATGTAATGGTAAATAGTAGATTTGTGAATGAGTTAGTTGAATACGAGAGATACTCTTTTTTTAAAAATAGGTGTTGGCCCCGACAATCCGGTCATATCGTCCTTATCGCTTGCCAAAGGAGGATAACTCGTCGTTTCGTCACCGAGTAAGTGACTTTAATATTACCCTGACATTGTTGCCCATATCGAATTGTTCACGTACTGCCCTTGTAGTAAAAATGAAACGGTGCAGGGTAGTACTTCGATGGACTTGTGGTTTACACGTTTATCGTTATATTTATAATACTATCATCTCGTTTGTATCCTACAACTTTGTGGTTTATGACTTCACTCCCCTTATGTGGTTCATGCTTTTGCTAAATAGGAAAATTATTTTTGTATTATACGAGGGATGTCTTTTAAGTTTTGCAAATGGAAATAACACAACACGGTAGGTAGTTTTAAATGCGCTATATTTTTTCCGATTCTGTTGTCACCAAATCTTTGTTTCTCAAAATGTAAACCCTGGTTGTAGCACTTCAATTGAAATTAAGCAAAAAGCGTGATTCCAGGATTCACATAAAATTTAAAACCTTAGATTTCTGGAAATTTAACTTAGGCACCTTATTGTACCAAGCTCTTCATTTGGAAGTTTACATACAATTAGTTTTCATCGTCACAGCCATGTTGCCATGATAATAAAGACAAACTCCTTTATTCATCTGAAGAAAAGTATTTATTCTTGAACATGCCTCCAACCTTCTCAACCTCCCTCGTAAATATTTCAAGGATTCGGTATTCTCAGGATTTTTTAAAGATAAAGGAAATACGCAGACGTCTAAAGTTGGAGAGCAGTACGTATATAGGGTAAGAAGAGATACACATACTTTCTTTGTCCCCTTTCGCCAAACAAATCATGCTTTAAATGTACCCATAACTCGCCTTCTTAGGCTGGGTAATAGATATATTTTTAGTTTAGAATTATTCGGTTCTTCTATCTGTATTGTTGCACATCCAAATTAGAGACCCAGCAGCAGAAACCTGAGGGGTTCGTTTGGCAGGTTTAGAATGCTGCGACTGAGTTCAAAAATAGATTTCTTACCTGCATATAGGTGGTGAAATGACCGTTGGTCTTGACTTTGGTTCTAGCTTGCATCTTGTCTGTGGTTTTTTCAACGATGATCTGAGGTGTTTCCCCATACAGCGTTATTTCCGAGCCTCTAAGACCATGACAGCCGATATCTGTGTTCAATGGTCCATCTGTAACAACAGAAACTTTTGTTACTTCCTTATCGTTATCTTAAGTTTACTACGAATGTATAAAAATCGTTAATAATTCGCCAGTGATCCCGACAGCAAGTTGGACATTTGTCAGTCAGCTCCATCCTTTCAATTACTGTGTTTTAATTCATTACTCAATCCCTTTTATGAAGGTATCACTTTTCTCAATAGAAGAGTATACGAAATTGCACTCAGGTAAAATTGAAAACGACTGTCACCCATTGTTCTATTTATACAGGTTGTCCAAAAAGTATAGATACATACGGCGAAGGTGCCTAAACCAGGGTCCAGCTGCTGGTTCAACACATCGTTCGACACTGCCCGTCGGCAGAAGGTCACGGCATACAGAATTTTCTTACAAAAGCCCACTGTAGAGAACGGATAAGCGGACGCAAAAATAAGGCACTTAGTAATATCGCAGCGGAATGGCAGCATATTGAAAGGAACTTCTCAAAGAGTAACCTTCCATTGGATCTCCAAATAACCTGCTTGAACTGTTCTTCACATTTCCGGTGTCAAAAATATGACGACCGGTCAATCCCTACTATAAAGTGCACCTTACACATACTAAACAACAAAAAGTATTGCTGGTCCAATTTATCCGATTTTTCATGTCGTAAATCTTGGCAGTTTCTCTTCTCGCGCATATGGTTATGTAAATACAGCAAGTCCAAACGTGAGGCGGTGCCTGCGGCCAAACTGTGGCCCCAAGTCTGTTTGTACAACGGTCGTTACCTTGATTGACCAAATTAAAGATATTTACGGTCATTGAAGTTTTGATTTGTGCCCAGTCGTGATTCGAATTACCGGTGTTCCCGTACGAACCGTTATGCGTTTAGCGTGAATTACTGTTTTCACAACAATTCGGTTATTAGCGCTGACAAAAATGGTGACGAGACGATGCACTGCTTCGGGAAAACGCACCTCAAAAAAATCGACAGGTGATTTTAACTAGTGCGACATTTTGATATCTTTATTATTCTCAAGGTATCCAAAGCTAAATTTTCGTGCATATGACAGTATCTTTGTTTCAGGAAAAGAATGCTGGAAACCGAGAAATGCAAAAAAGAAAACTAGACATCCAAAAGTTCCCTGTTAATTCGACGTTGACTTCCAACTGCGTACGTCTATATTTGTCGGTACTATATCCTTCAGGTGACAAATTATTTCCGCACCAACCGAAAATAGTAGAACAATAAACATCAATAAAATGAACCAGAACAAGGACTGCTGGAAAAAATGACGTGTGCTGGAAAAAAGGTAGTTTTGTTAGTACTCGAACCACCACGAAGGCATAAGGCCTAAACACTGGCGACGACTTCCTCTCTGACCAGAGACCTGGAGGCTATCACTGCTTGGGGACGCAACAATCTTCCAAAACACAATACTGTACTTTGACGAACAAAAAGCGTTCTGGCGCTCATCCGGTTTCGACGGATGGCCGAGTTCTGCCAAACAGCCGTTCACTTCGGCTGGTCGGAGTCCAGATCATCGAGGACCTGATCTGGCACGAACACATCTCGTCAATAGCAGCAGCTGCTGGGAAAAAGCTAGGCTACTTGTTTAGGGCTAAGAAGTACTTTTCTCCGCATGACCTTGACGTCTCATCCTAACCGTATCGAACTTCGTACATCCAGAAGTGGCCGATACGACCGCTCCTTTGTCCCGAGGGTGTCGAGATTGTGGGACAATCTACAAGAGGAAGCTTCTACTAATCATAGGCAGTTCAAAAATCGTATCATCAAAATTTCTTTGGGATCATCATAGCAGCCGCGGTGTTCCGGCATTTAGGCTTCTGTCTGCGCGGCTGCTTCGATATAAAAACAAACACACACACACACACACACATGGGAACTGTGGGGCAATAGGGGGGACGCCACATGCACTCTAGTGAGGATGCACGTGTGCTTGCAACAAACTCACATTCTGGCCCCGCCTTTGGGATCCGCTCGGTGGTACCTCCACGTTCGACAGTCGGAGACCGTCTACCACCTACGGAAAGTCATAACATCCATAACCAAGAGAAAAATACTCCTGGGACGGGATTCGAACCCGCGCAGAACATCGACGGATTAGGAAATCCGTAACGCCTACCACTACATCACCGCTGCTGCCTAAATTATCTTGAATGTCGATAAAACAACGTTGATCGGTTTTCAAAAACAGGTACTGCACCCATGTATATGTCTTTTCAACAAAAACAACAAAACCACCCAAAAACGTTTAGTTTCTTCTGCAATTTATTCCCTTATTCAAACAAAAACTAAACAGTCGAGTAACTGAATAATACTAGACTTTGTCAACGTAAAATAAAAAATCAAAGGACGGACCGCGTAGGCTATCTGGCAAGCAGCTGAGCTTCCGTTCCATTTTCGCGAAACCCCGTAAAATTTCGCAATATCGTAAATTTCATACTTTCTACGCTAAGTACTCTGTTACATTCTTCGAAGAATTAACCTCTTTTTGAACCGTCGATATTTTTTTCGCGATAAACACGCCGGTGAGCCGACCGAGTGTTACCTACGCAGTACGTTTTCAGGATTTCGTAAAGATCGTGATTGTCAACGAAACAGAATACCAGCGACGTAACATAAAACGGCGAAGGTACATGAAATCAAACTAATAGACCAAACTAGTCGAAATTCGATCATGTAATAACCTGTTTTACACCGGAATTATATTCTTGATGGTATATGAAAAGGTCCCTAATAGAAATAATGTGTGGATGCACCCTGATGTGCTACGCATTCTCCAACGCGCCTAGGCATGCTTCTGATCAGGTGGTCAATGTCCTCCTGTGGTATCTCATTCTAGGCAACCACCAACTCCTCTCGAAGTGCTTCTAGAGTCTGAGGAGGACGTTGCAAATTGGGCAATCTCCAACCCATCATATCCCACACGTGCTCAATTGGGGATAAATCGGGAGATCTTGGTGGCCATGGTAACAATGTGACATCATTATGTCGAAAGAAGTCTATTGTGACTCTTGCAACATGTGGTCGGGCATTATCTTGTTGGAAAGTTGGATCTGCCGGGGTGTCACGATAGGGTAAAAGATGGGGTTCTAGAACTTCGTGGATATAACGCTGCGCGTTCATGTTACCTCTGATGAAGATTAAAGGTGACCTGGAACCGTAAGCTATAGCACCCCAAACCATAACTCCAACAGTGTGATGAACATGTCTTTCAACAAAAAACTGTGGATTCCTCCTTTCACCACGTCGCCTTCTAACCCTGGCAAAATCGTTGCATATTGCTTGAAAAAATGCAAATGAAGATTTTAAAATCAACCCAGGACGACCCGAATGGCTCCGTTGGTACCCCGGGTTATACAATGACAGCTTGTCGTTCTTGTCAACTGGGCTGCGGTGTGCGGTGTCGCCTTTACTATTTTACATTTTGCTAAAATCTTATGAAAAATAGAAGCTTCAAACGAATTTTTGACTAATATGAATGGATATGCATAGAATTTAGAATATAAATTCATATTGTCGGGCACATGAGAGGCGTAGATTCGGGTTGGTACCATTCTGGTAGATTACCGTTCATGAGTTCATGAATAATTTTTCGCTAGGTTGACAGACATCGACGAGAAATCGACCAAATTCATTAGATCCAATACTTCGCTACTACTAAGACGCCTTCTCATCGATCCAATTTGTACCATAGGCGCAGATTTGATTCCGGTCTGTTAATAGTAATATCAAGCGTAAAGGTCGCGATTCAGCCCACCAATAGAAAAAAATTGGTTTGCGACGAGTAAAACTGCGTAGCAATTTTGTGTAGCCTTAACATATGGGATAAAGCGTTTTTGAAAAGGACATCTCATCACCTTTACGTAGATTTCTAAAGCCACGTCACTGTATCATTCAGAAGAAACAGGTTTGCGACAATGATAACATCATTACGAATGCTTTATTGATTCCGTATTGAAGCATTAGTGGGTAGTCATTATTCTTCAGCTGTCAACGACGCTGATATTTTTCACTGTCCGACATCTTCACGAATCTCATCATTAAATTAGTTGGTTTTTTATTCTTCTATTATACTGAATGTCCTGGTGCTGCTATACAAAAGTTACAGACACGTAGTCGATACCAACTTTGAAGTAATCTTAGTAAAACGAGTGTATTTTTTAAGTTTTCGCTGCACTTTTTGGGACATTACCTTTGTTATATCAAGCGTACGTTTTTCTGAAAAACATTGTCCTAACTTTCTACGTAGGGGGAGGGGCCTGGGAGAAGAATAACAATCTTCTCCGACAGCCAGGCTGCGATGAAGGCACAAAGTGCTCTTTATTAATGACAGAGCGCCGATTCCTAGGCATAGGCCGATTTCCTTTTGGTAAATTTCAGTATTAAGTTGAGATCTTTTAGACACTAATGTCGTAATATTTTATTGACTATCTCAGAAAATATCGTCGGTTCCTCGTAAACTGATTTTTTTACCTACAACGTTGTTTTGGGAAACAACACGGTCCTGAAGTCTACCAATAGACAACCAGTGATGTTGCTTGTGTACGTTTTTGTCAGCTATTCGTTTTCCTTGGGTGAAACTCTGTTTCTTTATATCTAGGTGGAATATTAGACAGGGTAGTTAGGGAATCGGAATTTCTCGTTCCTTATTATCATTTTTGGCATCGAATCTGTGGAGTATAGAATTTTTGAACGTCCTCGTACTTTTAACATTGATTGACAGTCAACTGACAGAAGGCCCGAAATTTGGAGTATCGTTTCTATTATTCCTGTTGAAGTTCTTGGTTATTTGGGAGTGTGGATCCTTCGTTTAGTTACCAGATTCTGGGCAATTGGGCCCCAGTCACCAGTTTATGTAGTAGCACCTTTTTTCGTACATACCTTAAGTTCGGTTGATTTGCTTGTTGTTTGGGTGCTCCTTAACGGAAACTTCTTTTTTTATATCATCTGACCACGCCCATTAGTGTATGTTCAGAAGAAGTTTGCTCAATTTCTTTATTCATCCATTCATGCACTCATTCAACATTCTACGTTTTTTAAAATGCGCCTCACGCTACCCTAAGTATGGGACCCCAATGATTTTCTGTAAAATGATCATTTATCGATACTTCTTGAGTTCATAGATTTCCTTACCGTCTTGTAATGCAGATCTGGCATCGTTGGAACACAGCGGGCACGCCTCATTGGTGAACATGCACGAATAGCACCGTTCATGGCCGCAATTGTCAATCAACCGTCGTTTTTTGCCCTTGTCGAAGGGCATGTCACACGAAGGGCAGGTCGTCGATGACGTGTACTGCTGATTTTCAGTGTCTAAAAGGCGTCTTATGGCAGCCAAATCTGAAACAAAACGGAAAATACATGAATAAATTGTGAAGTTACAATCAGGTAGCAGGAGCAATTAGCCTTCATAATGACCGAAACCTAACTGCAATATCGATCTGCGCATGCGCAAAGTAATGCAGGCACGAAAATTTTAGCGGTAATCCAGTACCGTAATTTCACACAACAATGGTCCAATTTTTAGTGATTTTTCGGAATACGCGTTATAATTTACAACCTGACTCACTTCAAAACATTCTTATGGAGTAAGTAGCAAGTGTTTAAGAAGTTAGTTGATATGTTTTGTTTTTTTCAACATATTGTTCAAATTTAACAACTTTTTGTTAATTTTGGACCATAGTTGTGGACTTTGTACACATCTATGATCCATAAGGAATTTATTGCAATAAGTCGATAGGTAACTATTGTTGGAAGCATATAACCCACAACAATAGTGTCGAGTAATGAAAATTATACTTGAAAAAAATATTTGACTGACGAAAACTTCAAAACTCATTTATTTTTCATATTTAAATAAAATAGTCACTCAATAGGTGCAATTTGTATGGTAATACAATAATACAAACGTAAGATTATAATAATAAAAAATGATTTTGTACCGCAACTTATCGAAGTAAAAGGTAAGTTAAAAAAATAAAATAAACAAAACGACAACTTTATTAAGTGTTATACGTAATTAAGCAAGCTCAGGGCAGGGACACTGAAAAGATGACGTTTCGTTGAAACTTGCTTTGGAGCATTTATAGAAAACTTTATTTTCGTTTTTGCCATAAAATATGGCGTCCTCCTTTTCTGGCCATCTCCACAGTTTTCCACATTTTGCCATGCATTTTATAAAGGTTCCCTCGCTTTCTACTGTAACCACCTGCCCCGGCCATTAGTCACCATCGTACTGAACTGCAACAAAATCATCTTTTTTCGGGTAGCGAACCCTCGAAACTTCTGAGGTTTGCGCTTGTAGTATTTTCAGATTTCTCTTCTGCTGATAAATTCAGTGAAGAACTAGAAGCCAAAGAAAACTTAATATCAACTTCCTCTTCATCACTGCTTGAACTGTCTACTGTCGCTCCCTTTTTCTTGATGACTTTTTCTTTTTTTTTAGGCAGAAGGTAAGAGAATATTCTCTATTTCCTCTTCGTCTCTGCTTGGGCTATCTACTAACACTTTCTTTTTCTGCTTACGTTTGCGTTTCTTGCTGTTAGAAAACAAAAGTAAAGTCTTTACTTCATCAGCAGAAATGGTTTTTCCTGCTACTTGCGTCAAGTTGTTTCTTTCTTTTTTTCTCCAGTTTCGTCAACGAGTGTTTTTCTTTTATTTTCAATATATTTTGGTACCATGGCTGTTTTTTGCTCGAGAAGAATAAACACGAGAAACTCAACAAATAACTAGTTGCATATCGAGATTATACTATTGTAATACTAAAATAATTAAAAAAAATCGAAGTACTTACCACCTGCAGCATCGAAAGTTTGCAGGTAAACAAACACCGTGTACTTGATGTACAGGATACTAAGCGTCACAACGAAGATCCCTACGAAACGTGATGCGAGCCGGAAATGCTTTACCGGAGACTATTAGCTTGCGTCTAGTCTCTTTACTTAATAATAGATGTCGCAATAATATGATTTACAAATGTTTTAAAAATGAGACCATAGTTGCGGGGCAGGACTATTGTTGTGTGAAATTACGGTACCTGAAATCGTTCACATAAAGATCTTGCAGAGCTCTACATTTTCTGCGCAACATCAGCGTCTATTTCTGTCCCATAAAAATGTGTCTCGAACATGTATTTTTCGCGCAAAACAGGCGGTCATGCTGCACGATTTTTGTCGCTAGATCAAGGTTAATATCATACTGTATAGGTGTTGTTGCATTTATAATTATTCACAGTGGCTGAGCAATTGGCCATGTAAATAATATGTATCCCGCCGTATCATAGTTATTTTTACTCAACGTCAGTCTGCATAATGTACGGGGTGCTCAAAATTTAACAATGTATTCCCAGCTGTAACTTTTTGGAGGTGTCAAATTTTCATCCTTGCATATCGCTTAATTTTCTCGATTTATTATCATTATTACGTTTATGCATTCTGAAAGAAATTATAAGTCTTCAGCTGTACAAAAAAAAGGTTTCATCTGGCCTAAGTAAGCAGACAACGAACACACATATTTTATATCAATCTGATATACAATAAAATGCTTTCGTAGTAGTATTTGAGTTATGCTTTCTGGAACGATGTAATGTGACAATCGGAAATGATGCATCGCATTTTATTTCACTGTAGACACTCGATGTTCTGTGTGTTTTGTATTGTAACATCCTACGCTTCTATAAATAAGTCGAGATTATTTCGTTACAAGCTTCTAGCTGCGGGTAATTTTTTTTCGACTCGGAGGAATCAGAGGTATCTTGGTCTGTTTCGTACTGGAAATAACACTTGTTGCTAACTGAACAAAATCAGGTTCATTTTTAAAATGATATCTGATCGATAGCGTTTTCTACTTCGAATGGATTTTACGAATGTTCCTAAAGACTGAAGAAGGTCACGAGCCACTCATCCAGAAATAACATAAATATCATCGACACGTATTAAAGTTATTTGTTTGGTTTTTGGGTTGTTATTCCGTCGTAAGCTGTTTTTACTTAACGCTTCTTCGACACGAGTGGTTAGCATCTTCTGAAGATGGCGAAACGTCAAGTAAAAATATTTTACGAAGATATAACTATCCAAAAACCAACCTAATAACATTGGAACGCCTTTGGCATTTCACGTATTAAAGTTATTTGTGGTCTACGATAGTCGTTCTCAATAAGGATATCAAATATATTTTGATAATAGATGATTCTAAATCGCTATTCAGTAGCGTTGTGAAACTAATTAAAAAAATAGTTTTCTTTCGTAACAACAGTTACTTCCTCTTGAACCGTTCAATTTCTCTCATATTTATGCATGTTCGTAACTGATTTTTCTCTCAAGCGGTCCAGTTTGTGCTGGACATAATCCTTTAAGAACGGCGTGAAAAGTTCAAAGTCAACCTACTAGACGCCTTTTTCTTCGTACGTGAAGTCTGAACAACGTTGCGGTATAATGATTGCGTACCCGAATACAGGTGCAGGCAAAGAGCGTATATACGTTTCCCACGAAGAACTCGATGAATATAATCACACGGACAATTTGTGGTTCGAACGCAGGAAGTCATATTTACTTTCAGATTACACTCGAACTGCATCATTTGCTGCGTGATGAGAATGATGAAAATCCACAATCTACTACGTGCTATATGCTATGTGCATTCCTGCTTTTTGTTGAAGTCTTGAAGTTGTTACTAACGACAAGGATAGCCTAGATAAAATTACTTTATAAGCTGCAATCACTGTTAAACATAATATCCAAAAAGATGCCCAACCACATCCTGGCTTCAAAATCCCAAGTTTTGCCACTAGAAAAAGTATGGAAGTACCCAGAATATACTTTTTGAAACCAAATATTGATATAAGGTCGAAGTGAAAAAATGGCGTCAAGTAAAGAAAGAAAAGAAAAAAGTTATTCACGAACATGTATAACAATAAATCAATTGGACTTCCTCCTTCCCCTGACAGGACTGACAACATTGGGCTTGACAGTTGTACAGTACACGCAGTCGATAGAAGTGTGAAAACGATAGCCGACTGTGACGTACGACCACCAAAGACGACACTCGTCCATCGGGAGACGACGTCGCACGCATCGACACCCGACTGTAGTTTTAAGGGTGAATGTACGGCGACATCTATGATATGTGCACAGAATTGCTGGGGTTGGAGGCGCATAAATATACGAACGTCAAAGAGTGAGATATACCGTCTCTCAGCCTGCAATCACTAACCCCTACAAATTGTTTTCTGAAAATGACTAGGGTCATCTGAAAAACGTGTTTTATTCTTGTTTTTTTTTTGTTTACGTCCTTAAAATAGTAGTAACACAGCTTAGATAACAATCACCTATGAAACTGTCCTGCCACTGTCAATAACGGCCGCCATTCTCGCGGGGAAAATCGCACGTAAACATGTAAATTCCCCTAGTACATCAATGAAAGAGGTTTTACAGCTCAGCAGCAGCCGGTGTTGCCACGCATCCTGCAGCGTCAGCAGATATTCTTTGCAATCGTAAAATGGCACTATTTCGATATGATCTAGTGTAGTTTGTGCGAATCAATGATAAAAAGGAGTATGATTGTCCAAAAAGAAGCGACGCGGTATTGATTGATAACTATTTAGTTATGAAAAAGCTTCAAAATTTGTAATGGTGGAAGTTTTTCGTCGCGGAAAAAATGAGAGCTAACCAGCATCAAAGTAACAACAAACTTTATGTAACCTGACACTTCTCAACTAGAATGCTTGTACATAGAGGGCGAATCTCTAATGTGTAATCAGACCATAGTTATATTTAAAGTACTTAAAAGTTATTAATCAAAATTGTGGGCAGCTACACGCTCATTACTTGGAAAATGTGCTTCTCTCCCCAGGGTGATTCGTATCTACAGGACAACACAAACATATATTTTTCAAATGAAGTATCCTATATATTTTAGTATATTTTGAACTGCCTCTTCAAGAGAAGAACTTTGATATAGCATACTATAGGGGTTCTACTGCTATGGAGCAAGGGGATATTTTGTACGGAAAACATTGAGCTTTGATAGCTGGTAACTCAGTCACTTTTGCAAATGATGTAGCAAACTTTTCGACAAAATGAGGTTCATAGCCAGCAGTTCCCAAGCAGTGACTACAGTACAGTAGGTTCAGACACGTAATGTATGCTTTGAAAAGTGTTGCAATTACATTTTTTATAGGTTTTACACGTGTTTCGCGATTCCCTGCCCCTACTGGGAAGTAAAAATAAAACGGATATTGAGCTAATCAGACATACGTTCTTATCAATTATGTAAAATGGCTTAAATACGACAACAACTGTCCATCTACAACAATCATGTTGTCATGTTCGCTCAACCGTGAG